AAACTAGTTTAACCACCCTCTACTAGAGTCTTGTGTTATTCTGAGAGTCGTTTTGGTAATAAGCGTGAATTGCACATTATGGAAATTGGAACTTGAGTACACTGTTAGCTGTGTTTTGTAAACAAGTGTCAAATACTATTTCACGTTTTTAATGAAAAATATCGGATTGCAGACATAGTTTTGAACCTCATGCTGCCTTATGAAACCTCGGCTGTTAAACGGTATACAATACCTAGATTGAAAGTTACATGTGACATATTGGCATTCGTGTTTGTCTCGTAAAATCTTGGATAGTACTTCCATGTTGTCAAAATCTTGTCTCCGGTACCAGAATTTTTGTGCTAGTATGGACGTATCGTACCGCTTGAAAGCTGGTACAAGATTAAAAACTTAGTAGATTGCATTACCTTTATGGATGCATATAACATATTCCTATATATCCTCACTGCATTCCTCAACATCATGCCTGAAGAAACTAATGCTGATAAACTAAGGTACACTCCCTACTTGTTACTAATTACTCCCTTTGTCTCATAAAAACTTTCATGGTTTGCTTTTTACGAAGTTCAAAAAAAGTGTTGAAAATGAATAGTGTTTAATTGGTATTTGGTTAGATTAGAAAGTACTGTGGTACAGAGTATGTCACATGTTCATTTCTTTATAGAGAAAAATGAATAATGTTGATAAATTATTTTGTTCTATTTTGTGTTCTTACAAGCTGGGACAAATACACAAGCTGGGAGAGTTTTTAACATTAGGCGTAAATGTTTTACACTAACAAAGGAAAGAGTGTTACTTCTATGAAAAAAACAGATCTTTTGCGATGGATTACAAAAGATGAAAAAGTTGCACTGGTATAGTGTCCTCTAAAAATTATAGGCCACAACAGTCCTATGGTTTGTTCAGATAAACTGTCCTTCCATTTAGGGGCTGCACTGGCCTTGCATTTTGCTCATAGCCCTGACCAAAAAAATAAATAAATTGAGGCATTAGATTTTTCTGTTTGGACTCAAAAGAATGTTTCAAGACTCAGTAATACTACCTTTGTCAAATTAAACAAAAAATACTTTGCATATTACTTTAAACAAATATATTTCATTAGATTTATCTTGCAAAAAAAAAAAACTTTCAAAAAAAATATGTCATTGCATTGACAAGTAATCAAAGTTTTTCCATGTTGATTTTTTTTACAAATGCACTGGGACAGATGGAGTAACTAGTCCTTACCTCATCAACGGCACCCTTTAATGCGTCTAATTGTTCCTTTGATATTGTCTTCACCTATAAACGCCACAAGGTCATTATATATTAGACCGTTTGGCGGGATTGAAATGACAAACTTTTATGAAATAAAGAATACTAACAACAACAACAACAACCCAGTTAAATCCCACAAGAGTAGGGTCTGGGGAGGGTGTGTGTACGCAGACCTTGCCCCTACTCGAAAGTAGAGAGGCTGTTTCCAAAGAGACCCCCAGCTCAACGTCAAAAGTTGCATTGTTTGACTAACTGCTACTTCATTAATTAAAGAAGCGCAGATAGTTTAGAGATCCATTTTGATTTATTCCATCACACCCCAAAGCCAAAAATGGTGAAATTTTAGCTCCATCGGAGATGATGGAAAAAAAAATAAAGAATACTATATCTAAAAAAGATTTTGTAATAGAAATAGGAAATGTGAACATAGGACAGACCTTGCTGATAACTGTCCATAGAACACCTTGTGAACATGGGGGAGTTGTGAGGGAACCGATGAATCTGTAGTACTCATTGCTTCCATATCCAATCTTTTCTGGGTGAATAATGCCTAAATCTTTACCCTCATGATCAGCATTCTTGATATGGCTTATCAACTGTATCAAAAACCAAAATGTAACGTTATTTAGGGAAGTAACTGTTCATCAGTCAATCTAAAATGTCGCGTTGATAGGACGAAAAATACTGCATCTTATTTGTATTGGCTTATAAGTATGCCACATTTACATTTTCAAGAAAAGGATCCGGGGCTCCAATTTCGTACAAGATCCCAACAGCTGCCAATTCGTCACGTGCATTCATATGAACCAGGTGCATCTCCATGTCAAATCTGTCAATGTGATGTTATAGGGTGTTGCAAGTTACCATACAATATACAATGTATGGTTTTTGGTTTTTTTTTTTTGCAAATAAGAAGAAAAATGAAACTTTTGTTTAGATGAAGATACAAAAACCTCTTGCCATTCACAGTGTTCTCAGAGGGAGTATGCCAATGGGTTTGGACTAGTGAGTAGTCAGTGCCATTGATCACGATTTTCCCTGCATCTTCTTTCCACACAATCTGCATAATTTCTGAGGTGAGTATTATATATTACCTTGTTCGCGATCGGTTTTGTCAATTATCTTTAGTGTAACTCAGACTAAAGGTTGCCAAAAAAACCAATCGCGAGAAGGGAGTTTTGAAAAAGATAGCAAAGTGCACAAAACGTTCTATTTTAATATAAAAACATTGAAGATCCTATCTGAGAACTTTCAAAATTGTATTTTATTATGCTAATATGCAATATAAATTGAGAGTTATTGGAGTTCAAAGTTTGTCCAGTTTGACTCGAAAAAGTCAAACTGGAAAAATACACTGGGACGAGGTAGTATACTCCCCTCCGACTAATGTGTAACCAGATGTTGATGCTTGACGTTATTATTATTATTATTATTATTATTATTATTATTATTATTATTATTATTACCTGAAGAGCGTGGCCTTTATTAATAAGGACAGCGGGTGCGGGCTTGTACTCTCGTATCAATTCGCCAAGGGTAGAGGTGACCTGAACGTTGTTGTCGTTAAGATCAATGGGAGACTGGGTGTCCCCCGCGCTGCAATCCGTGTAGTTTGGGTGGAGCGATGCCCACTTTTCTGGGCCATTGTGGTGTTCTTTCACGTAGCTGAACCGTATTTCCTCGTGACCGTGACCGTGACCGGATGCGGTTTGTGACGATGAAATGTGCAGTAGCAATACGGCGACGAGGATGATGATGAATCGGTTATTGCAGGCCGTCATCGTGTGTGTATGTTTATCTTCCAAATGGGAGGGCAAATTGGTATGTATTTGATGTGGTTTCTCCCTCTCCAGAATGGAACTATGCATATGGAAGAAATTAAATGTGAATGTCTTCAAACACAAATGTTTGAGGCAATTGTGTGTGTGGTCTTTTGGAACACAGAGAATGGGAGTCATTGGTTTCTTTTTACCGCTCCTGTTTTGGCTGGCTTCCTATTCAATGATTCTATCGTATATGGAGTTTTATTATTTCGTGGTCGTGTTTTTTATCTTAACAAACTTATTGGAGAGTATATATACAAAGAGGAGAATTAGAAATATAACAAATCCCTACAAATGTCCTTTACAAGATTGGGTTTCCACATGTAATATAATTGACTTTAATCCACATTTCACTTATTTATCCATTTTAAAATTTCATTTATTACTCTCTTTGTTCTTAAAAGATTGCCACAGTTTGACTTTTTTCTTCAAACTGTGGCGTCTAACACCCTTTGATCACGAATTACATATGGTTTAAAATAGTTAAATATTATAAAAATTTGATTTTTAAAAACTATAATTTAAAATAAATCCAATTTTATTAAATTTACATCACAACTAAATATACTTTTTCCATAATTTGCAGTCAAAGGGTGTCACAGTTTGACCAAAAATATCAAACTGTGACAATCTTTTAGGAGCATTATCAAATACAGATACTGAGTATATTTCAAACATTATATAAGAGTATACGAACCCGGATGCGTACAAAACACTGCTAAACATTACTTTATTGTATTTCGTTATAGATTTAGATACTTTTGGCATTCTTCCAAATTTTAAAATTTAATAGGAGAAAAAGAACTAGATATGCACTCTTTTTGTCACCTCTTATTTTATAGATCTTTTGATCTATGAAATAGTTTTTAAAACATGTAAATTTTATTTTATTTAATTCCATACCCATTTTTCACTAAATTGAGTTGAAAATAGTTTCATTCAAATCTTATAAACATGTGATTTAAATTAGAACTGAGGAGTACAAAAAGTCAACTTCAAAAGATCTATGAAAGATGGATGAAGTAAAATGGATTCAGAAAAAATGTTAGACAAGAAATCTAAGGTTACTAAATTTGTACTATTTACCGATCATATCCTTATTTGAATACAGATAATAACCATTTAAAAATATACGAATATTTTTCGTATAAACGAATTCAGATACAATTAATAATTAAATTTTATGAAATCAACTCAAATAAAAGTAAGATAGACTTTTATCATAAAAATAAGAGTTTCATGTTTTTATATTCAAAATAAAAATTTATACGGTGACATTATGACATTATATTGTGGCATCCTATGCATTGTGTTTTTGGGTATTATATATTGATATTGTGGCATCCTATGCATTTTGAAAAAATATCATTAACATTTTTTTAATTAACGTGTATCTTTAAAATTTTATTTAAAATACTAATACTAACAAAGGCAATGTAAGGAAGGGATAGGAAATAGGAATATGTGGTAATCAGAGTAGCAGCCCAGTTTAAAAAGAAGCAGGGCCGGTCGTGTTAACCCCTCCCGGCCTGAATAGCTTCGAGACTCACTTTACCTAAACTCCTCCGATTCAGACTCCCTGAAGGGTATGGCGGCGGCGAATTTTGATCTCACAGGGCGGATAGCTCCCCAGCTCGACCGCCACCTGGTATTCCCCCTGCTGGAGTTCCTGCAACAGCAGCAGTTCTACCCGGATGAGGATATTCTCAAGACGAAGATCGAGCTTCTCAAGGACACCAACATGGTCGATTATGCTATGGACATTCACAAGTCCCTCTACCACACCGAAGATGTCCCTCAAGGTATCCCTCCTTCTTCTTCTGTCTACGCGCATCGGTTTGTGTTCGACTTTTTTCCCGATTCGCAAAATCATATTTTTCTGATGGTTTTGAATCTGGTTTCATCCTATTGAAGTCATATGTGTGTGCTTGTGTGCGCCCTTGCATCTGGAATTGTCGGTTACACTCGAGTTTATCTGATTGCTTTGGATTGTAGGATTTTGTTGTTGTGTTGTAATTTCTGCGTGAAAGTTTTGATCTTTTTCTATATGTAGATCTCCTTTCCATGATTTAGACCCAACCGTTTCTTTAGACATCCATTCAGGCTTACTTACTGCATGAGTCTTGCCTCAGGGTGAAGCTTTGTAAATTCTCCTCAAGGCTTCTTCTACCCAACACCAACCCTAGAAACTTTAAATGGTTCTCTCCCTCACAGCTTTCGTTTTTTCTATATTCAACTATTCATAAGCTATCCTTTGTAGTACATAGCAAATTTCCACGATGAAAGGTTTATGGTTTCTTTTTGGGGCAACAATATACCTTTCTTTCTTGGTTATTCTGTGTTTTTTTAATTTCTTTTAATAGTAGGTTCACTGTTTAACATGGGCAATGTGACACATTTCTTGGTTGTTGATGATAAGAGTATGTCAATTTCATGTGTTGTCATCTTGATTCTGGGAACTTGCATCTGATCTGTTATTTTGCTTCTTCAATGCCTGATAAGATATATCTGGAATAAGTATGAACCCTTCTTGCAGATTGCACTTTCTCTTGTATTTTTTTATATTTCGTGGCTCACACAGTGCCTCATGTTTCTGATAATCACTAATGCAATTGATTTAGCACATGAGATTTTGATAATTAGGGGACTTTCCAAAATTTGTTATAGAATAATCATATGTGTGTTATTTAGCAATCTTAGTAGCTTTATACATGCTTTTATATGCTGGTGTTCATTTCCAGAAATGGTGGACAGAAGGGTTGAGGTTGTTGCAAGGTTGAAGGCACTAGAGGAGGGTGCAGCCCCACTGATTGAGTTTTTGCAGAATCCAAGTGCAGTTCAAGAGTTGAGAGCTGACAAGCACTACAATCTTCAATTACTTAATGATCGATACCAGGTATATATGGTTGAATACTTTAATATAGCTCATATGATTTAAAGTACCAACTGCACTGTCGTCAGGTACTTAAGTTTATGACACTTGGAGTCTTGAACTAATACACCAAATGCAGTCTGTTAGATGAAATTTTGACTGTAGTCTATGTAAAAAAGGATTGTGCATTAGTGATTTAAAGGATTTTAGTTGGTGGATACTGTGCATTGTTTGATTGGAAAATATTACTTTTTAAAATTTTCTGATTGTAAGGAGGTGGGTGGTATTAGATTTTGGATTTATTTATTTAAACCAGTTCAAGATGAATATAAACTTTATTTTCATGAGCATTTTAGTATTTGAGGTCATGACATGGTACAAGCATTGAATGTTAATGTGCTCTTGATGAATTTTCAATTCATATTATTCAATGAGGAATCCCTTGAGTACGTTCCACAGATAATGTATACTATTGTTTCTGTCAGATTGGTTCGGAGCAAATAGAGGCATTATATCAATATGCCAAATTTCAGTTTGAGTGTGGTAATTATTCGGGTGCTGCTGATTATCTGTATCAATACCAAGCTCTCTGCACTAACAGTGACAGAATGTTGAGTGCTTTGTGGGGGAAACTAGCTGCTGAGATATTAATGCAGAACTGGGATATTGCTCTAGAGGAACTGAATCGCTTGAAGGAAATTATTGACTCAAAGGTAGTGTATTTTCCTCTCTTTATTCCCTAGAAAAATTCCACGTGTGGATATTCCTATTTAATTTATTCTGCTGGTTAGAGAGTTAGGCTAAGCAAGTTTTTTAAACAACTATATCTCAGAGTTTCTCAGTGCCCTTGCATCAAGTTCAAAGCAGAATTTGGTTAATGCATTGGAGCCTGTTCATCTTCTTCAACCATGAGAATGGAAGGTCCCTGATCATTGACCTGTTTAATCAAGACAAGTATGACAACTTTTATATCCTTGTTTATTTTACTTCTTTTCAAGTCACTTGATTGTACTAATTCTTGCTTCTTATTTATTCTATTATGCACTCTCTTGCATATTTTGCCTCCAGTGCAGTTACATTTTTTGTACTAGATCTTATATCTTAAGAAATTTGTGTATAATTTTAATGTGTTGCTTTCTGTAACCATTTAAAACTGGTTTTGAATATGAAGTTTGATGACATCATTTTCCCCTGGCCATATAATTTATGTGTATGTATATATCTAATATTTAGGAATTGCATCCTAGGTACTTGAATGCCATCCAAACAAACGCTCCTCATCTTTTGCGTTATTTGGCTACTGCTTTCATTGTCAACAAAAGAAGAAGACCACAGTTTAAAGATTTTATAAAGGTTATTCAGCCAGACCAGTACTCTCATGTGGACCCCATCACCGAGTTTCTAGCCTGTGTTTATGTCAACTATGACTTCGATGCAGCACAGCAAAAGATGAAAGAGTGTGAAGAGGTAAACCTTCCATCCCAATGTAGTCCCACATTTGATGCTCCCCTTGGATGTGGAATATGCATGTATTTTCCTTCATGATTTTAACGTACCATCCTTATGTGTATCTTCAGGTAATTGTGAATGACCCATTCCTGGGAAAACGAGTGGAAGAGGGGAATTATTCAACAGTGCCATTGAGAGATGAATTCCTTGAGAATGCTCGCCTTTTTATCTTTGAAACTTACTGTCGCATTCATCGACGCATCGATATGGGGTTCGTAACAAATGCTTCTTTAACAAATATTTACCCAGCACCCAACAAGTTATTAAAAGCAAGGAATGATTACACATACCCATTTGTATCCAGGAATTTATACTTGTAAATTGAATTTCTTCCGTAAAACTAAAAACAACCATGTTATAATGATCTTATTATGTGAGGGCATTGGTTGTAACAGGGTTCTTGCTGAGAAACTGAATTTGAATTATGAGGATGCTGAGCGATGGATCTTGAGTCTTATCAGAACTTCTAAGCTTGATGCCAAGATTGATTCCAAGACGGGAGCTGTATTAATGGAACCCACACAACCCAATGTGTAAGTTTAATGGGAAAAAGTGAGTTGTGATTCGAAAACTATTCCTAGAATGTTTTGTGTATTGATAGTTATTCTTTCTTTTTTCCTTTTTGTGTGTGAATCATATGCAGGTATGAGCAGCTGATTGATCATACCAAAGCTCTCTCTGGGCGGACTTACAAATTGGTCAGTCAGCTTCTGGAACATGCCCAGACACAGGCGCAGGCTGCTCGATAGTTTTAGTGCGGAATCTGAAGAATTGTTGTTTGGCAAGGAGTTTCTTGTTTTGGTCAAGTTGCTGATTTTAATGTTTAGTTATTGCTGATTTTTTTGGAACTTCTATATAATACTGTACTATTTTTGGAGTATTGGAATTGTGAATCAGTGTCTGGAATTCAAAATCTTGAGATGTTAATGATTTTATGGGTACTTTCGTGTATGACTATTTATGGAGTGTTAGAATTGAATCATTCTGATTTCATGCTCTGTTTCTCTTCATTTGAAGCCTTCAAATTTTGGTCTCCCAATTAAGGCAAATAGTAAATTTAGCCCCTCAAAAGTTTATGTCTGCACTTGAAGTCCTGAAATGCTAAAGTTGTAATTTTTGGTCCTTATATTGGTCTACTCAAGTGTGGTGACAAAGCACCAATAAAATCTACTCACTCCGTTCTCAAAAACACTTCCTCTTTCATTTTTTCCACTTCCAACAAAACAGTTCCCCTTTCTATTAAAAAACCACTTTTATCCTTATTTTTTCATACCCTACCTATCACATCATATTTTTTCTCTAATAATCTATCCATCACATCTTACTTTTACCCATCACATCAGGAGCAAAATTGGAAATCAACTATAATTTAACACTTCCTTATTTTTGTCCCCAAATCAAAATGGGAAGTCTTTTTGCAAACGGATGGAGTACATTTCTATCTAATAATAATTTGTTCTATTTAACTTTTAATTTTAGTCTTCCATTATGAGATTCAAAAATATTACTCCCTCCGTTTGCAAAAAGACTTTCTATTTTGACTTGGAGCAAAAATAAGGAAATGTTAAATTATAGTTGACTTCCAATTTTGCCCCTGATGTGATGGATAAAAATAAGATGTGATGGATAGATTATTAGAGAAAAGTATGATGTGATAGGTAGGGTATGAAAAAGTAAGGGTAAAAGTGATTTTTAACAGAAGTAGAAGTGTTTTGTTGGAAGTGGAAAAAATGAAAGAGGAAGTATTTTTGAGAACGGAGGGAGTAGAATAGTCACTATTTACCAAGCTTCTTTTGACACAAAAAATGGGTGTCATATATTTGAGAGTTTTGTGTTGCTTAGTTCCATCTAACTTCCTCTACAAATTCCCCTAGTTTGCCTTGTCCCCATAGTGGCATAGCCCCTTCCATTTGGGTGACAGACTGCTGTCAAATATTCATAATTTGATAGGAATGGACTAAGGGCTAGGATTCATTTTAGGGTGGAACGAAGCACCGTAGAGCTTTCAAATGAATTGGTGACATATCATGACACCAGCCTTTGGATTCAAAAGACCTTCTATAGAATGGGTAATATCTAACTTTAGGACACAAGAATTTAGTTAAAGCTAGATTAGTATCTTGCCTTTAGAGTTTGGCCTAAATTACAGTTTTCAACTTTCAATCTCTAATTATCAAAATCTAGATTCCAATTGAATTTAAAACATGAAGAAAAAACCCTTGATTAAATTTAACTTGCATCTGCATCAAGTTCTGAGCAAAATAGTAGCCTAGTACCCAACCCTTGAAAGTTTACCATAATACCCTTAATGAAAATGGGTGGAGTGTATTAAATAAGGTGGGTGAGGTGTAATAAATAAAGTAAGTTAGGGTAGTTGTGGTATTTTAATTGTTAAAAAATGAAATGAGAAGATCTATTGTGGACAAAGAAAAAGGAATATTGTGAAGATCTATGAGGGACGGAGGGAGTAAAAAAGAATTTCACCACTATTTGTTTGTATGACTGAATTTGTCATATTTCTCATTTCATTGTCTTTGCAAAATCGCATGAAACTCCAAACAATAGCGTTCTTTTTGTGTAAACACGACTTTCTATGACAAATGTTTTAGAAACAGGACTTTTGTTTTTTGGGACAAAAACATTAAATAAGCAGTAGCAATGTAGCATGCTTGCACACAAGTTGGGCAAAAGCACTACTACACAAAAATAAAAATACAAATACTCTGTATGTATTCTTCAGTGGGTTGGTGTCCTCAGCAAAAAAAAAGTGATTGGAGTCCACAATTAGAAACCTTTATCCAGTGAGGCCAATTCTCTGGTTAGCAGCTTTGAGCTCTGTTCCCACTTCTAGCCTTTTTCATCACTTTGAACTTGGTTGCTCTTTGAAAGTGTTGAGTTCCACAAGACAGATCTCATCCCACCCCGGGGAAGATATAACGCAAGTGAAGATCAATAATCCTGCAATCATTTACCAATCAGAATAGGAATTCCCATAAGTTTTCCATGATTCTTGCCCATAGCGTCTATAGCTGCTTCGTCCAAATGGGGAGTTGTACGATTCAGATGATTTGTTGCCGCTGCAATTCATATTCTTCTGTTTGCGTGCACTCCTCATTTCTTCTTCACGGTCGTAATTTGAACGCTGCATGTAGATGGAATAGTAATATAGCATCACTGACTCCGCAAAACATGTTGCCAACTTTGGCATTGATCGCTATAATGAAGTCATGTATTGTTTTAAGTGTATGTATGTATGTATGTATCATGTATGTGTCTGTGTTTGTGTGTCTTTACACACACACGTGCGCGAAAAAAGTATTTACATAGATAATATACTCCCTCCATTTCTTTTACTTGATCCATTTATTATTTATAGGTCAAACTTTATCCTCATTCTTTGTACGTTTTCATTACTCATCTGATAAAATAATATAGTCATCTCTTGTTTTGTAAAACTTTTGATGTAGTTTTTAAATACAACCCGGTTGAATCCTGTTACAGCAAGTCAGGGGAGGGTGTGTGTATGCAGACTTTACCCATACTAAAAGTAGAGAAGTTGTTTCCAAGAGACCCCAGCTCAAGCAACACAAAGAACTGATAGTACAACAAAGAGTTAGAGAACAAAGTGTAGGAAAATTGCACAAAAGACAAAAGACACAGACATATGTAAGAAAAAGACCGCAAGCCTACCAAACACACCACGATAGGAGCTAAACTACTAACCAAAAACCCTTATTCTAGATCTCCAAATATTCATATCTAAGGTCATATCCTTGGTAAGAGCCAGAAGTCCTAAGTCATGCCTAATTACATCCTTCCAGTTTTTTCTAGGTCTACTCCTTCCGCTAAACCCACCTACTATCATAAGCCTACGCATCTCCGCATCGGGGTCTCAAGCTCACGCCCCTTCACGTGACCAAACCATCTCAACCTAGCCTCTCGCAGCTTATCTCCATTAGTGCCACGCCCACACATCCACCGCAGCATACGCATCTCAGCAACATGCATTTGATGGACATGGGCTTTCTTAACTACCCAACGCTCTGCACCGTAAAGCATAGCAAGTCCAACCATAGAGCAGTAAAACTTACCTTTCATCCATTCGGAAATCTTCTTATCACATATAACCCCTGTTGCCAACTTCAACTTCGCCCACCCGGCTCTAATACGGTAAACAACATCCCCATAAATTTCTCCATCCGCTTGAATGACCGAACGAAGATACCTAAACTTCTCTTTAGGCTCTGGGCCTCTTGATGTAGTTTTTAAATATACGAGTATAATTGTTTTTTTAATTTTACACCATTTTTCAAATTAAATGAATTGAAAATAACTTCCATCAAACTTCATAAACCGTAATGGGCAAGTAAAATGAAACGGGAGAGTATATCACATATTAAAAAACAGGTTCACTAAACATGTGAAATGTTATTATAAGTCTGGAAACAAAAAAAGTAAAGATGATACTAGTAAAACCCAAAACACAAAACAGGAATAGTTACCAAACGAGTCCTAGGCTAAGAGAGCACAAACATACCTTCTCAGAATTTGAGAGAACTGCATATGCTTCCCCAATCATTTTGAAGAGACGGTCAGCATCCTTCTGAACTTTATTTGAGATGTCCTTCCGCAACTGTCCGTCCATGCTCTCAGTTTTTGCCAAAAACTGAACAGCCTACAACATAGCATTGACTACAGAACATAAGGAGATAGTATTTACATTAGCCCACCATTCAACAACATAAAACTGATTCACAATCTCAAGACCTTATCAGGATGATGCTTCAAGGCTGCTTTCTTGTATGCCTTCTTGATGTCAGATTCAGGGTCTGATGCTCTAATTCCCCTACCAGATAGATATAAATATTTATTTGTAGGTTAATTTTACAATGTCTATCTCATAAGGAAACATGAAAAATACAAAATATCTCAACCCATCTTTGTTACGTAATATTTTCCATCCAAGTGGCAATCCCTATCATGATGATTGTTTCAAAATTTTGATCTCGTTATTCATTTTTATGAAGGTTGTGACAGGAAATGCATCCATCGTAAAATGCTGCCACTATAGTTTTTGAATGAATTTATATTGTTAATGGAGAACAAATTTAATATCACCGGCCCAGTGATGATGATAGTTAAAAGAAAAGCCTGACAAATCACAACATCAAGGGGCGTATTGTCCCTTTTTCTCTTCAGGACAAGTTTTTCAAGCGTTGGGAGATATGATCTTACAGAATCAAATAGAGATCCAAAGGAATTTCACATTTTGCTTTCTCCTGAATTGAGGAGAGACGTTGGCGAGCTTTTTTTAATTCTTTTAGAGTATTGCTGCTACTAGACCTATCTTGTGATTTGGCTTGATGTGCCTTTTCATTCAACTGATTTTCTAACAGAGATATAAGCATCTGAAGATCAGTAACTGCATGCGCATAGTCTCTTATCATCTCATGCAAAGTAGCCCTCCTTGAAGCTGCCTGCCAGAATATATGAGAGTCACATTCATTCATTTCAAACTTTCAACTGAAAGACTCCACAGCCAGAATATATGAAACCATGAAAGGTGTTCTTATATTTTCTTACAACAATTGATATATACTGAGTATGTGTGTGTGTACAACAAGAGCCCAGTAGAATCCTACAAGAGTAGAGTGAGAGAGGGTGTGTGTACGCAGACCTTACCCCTACTCGAAAGTAGAGACCCCATCTTGAGTAGTACACAAAGCAAGCAAAAGATTAAGTTATAAAAATCCAATGAGACAACAAACACCAAGCATATAAAGCACACAGACAAGCACGCCAACTACTACCAGACCCAAACACGTACCAAACTATCCTAGTCATATCTCTCAAAATGCTTCTTTGGTCTACCCTTCCCACATTCCAGCCCACCACCGTAAGCCTGTAAGCCTCTCACATCCCTCACGTGCTCAACCACTTCAACCTAGCTTTCCATAACTTATCCTCCACA